CTTAATATAAGACTACACATTTCTCCCAAAGACCAGTTGTGCAGACTCTGTCAGCAGTTAGACCACAACACTGGAGTCACATACTCTGTGCACAGAAATGTTTTTGAAGGGAGGAGGTGCTTCTCCTTCCTGAGCCTTTCTCTAACTGAATTAAGATGCTGTCCCACTGAAGAGGAGGACCAAGAAGCCTTCCCCACTTTCCTTCCACAGCAAAGGAAAACATTTGCAGTGCTCGGTGCCCAGGTGGTCGGGGTCCAGCTCCATTCCCAGTGGAACACTGCAGCTAAGATGGGCTGCCAGTGTCTTCTGTCCCCTACTCCTCATTAGTTCCTTCAACAGGGACTCTTCAATCTAGACCTTGTAACAGAATTGGACTGAATCCACTCAGCTCCTCACTGCACCTCCTGGAAAGACCTGTATTCTCTACCATGGTCCTTAGGGATTCTCGAGGACTCGCAGACCCTTCATGGAACCATATGAGTCAGTCAGACTTTTCTCACTTAAGCATGTCAGACTACACTATGCATCTGTAGTTATGTTAACAATAAAATTTTTCAGACTTTTGTATCTTATTTTAAAAATAATAAAATGAAAACCTGTTCTAGGCCAGATGTGGTGGTACATGCCTGTAATCTCAGCAGTCAGGAGGCTGAGGTAGGAGGATTGTGAGTTCAATACCAGTTTAAGATACATATTGAAACCTTGTCTCAAAATCAAAATAAACAAACAAAAATTCTAATACAGATAAGAATTGTTTATTGACTTGAAACCCTTTGTGTAAGTGAACAGAACAGTAAAGCAGACATTCCAAAGGATTTCATATTGATTACCTTGCTTTGAAGTAAAGTTACCACCTTTGGAGCACAGCTTCAATGTTTACAGCAATATAAGACCTAAGGAATAGGATTTGAGTCATGATGACTCCTTTAGATGATTGGAGTAAGCATAGAAACTAATGTGCAGCTGTAACCTATTTATGTTACAGACCAGTAAGTTATTTAAAATTCATGTGTCAGTATGAAGTTTCAGTGGATGATGTAAGTACAACAACATTTTAAATGTCATTGGACAATATAAGCATTACAGCAGCATCTGTATCAGAATGGAACAGACCATTTTGATCAGAGTATACCACGTTCATCTATTGAGAAGGTTTTGCTTATACTGTGGTAAGAATATCTAGCATGAAATCTAACTCGAATATGCAATACCATGTTGTACTGTACAGATACGACAGATCCCTGAGACTTCATCAGCATACATCACTGAAGCTTTAAACCAGTTGAACAGCAATTCCTTATTTCCCCAGGAAACTACCACTCCATTCTCTATATTTGTGTGTTGTCATGATGCTAGTAAGGTCACAGAAAGACAAATGTTACATGAAAAGGATCTTTCACCACCAACAACCAACATTGCTTGGAAATTTTGGCACATGCCAATAACAGAACCATTTTTTTTGTCAAATTCTTTGCCAACACCACACTAGGTAAGCGTGACCTAGTGTTTATACTATTGCTGTCACCACCACAAGTGAAACTTGGAGAAAGCAGTATGTTCTGTGAAAGACAGTCTATTGTCCACTGAAAAACATCACCTCCAAGTACCTTCCTGTATAGATGCAGAGGCAGCAACAAACAGAAGTATCTAAAAATAAACTTTCAGGACACTGATTCTGTGTACTCTAGGACATACACATGTTATAAATATGCATGGGAGTACACACACACACACATACACACACACACACACACACACACACACACACACTAACACTCCCATGTTAGTTCTTTCCCTCTCTGCAACCTCTAGACTCTCAGGCCTAGAGGAAGGAGGAGGGTTCATGAGCTTGGTCAGGAACAATGACATCACAGGCAGTCAACCTAGAGCAGGCAGAAGCCCTGCTTTTTCCTCAAAACTACCATGAGAATCAGGCTTGTCTGTGCTGTGGTCCTTTGTTTCCTGGAAATAGGTGAGCCTTGGGAGTTGGTGTGTCCTCAGCATTGGTGGCAAGCCCTGTCTTATTTCTAGGTCTTGGATAATGGATTTTTCCTTTATAAGGCTGTTTGCTGGTCTATCTTTTCACTTCTGTCACTTACAGGGCTTGTGGACACAAAAGTAACCCAGACACCAAGAAACCTGGTCAAAAGAAAGGGAGAGAAAGTGTTGCTGGAATGCGTACAGGATATGGACCATGAAAGAATGTACTGGTATCGACAAGACCCGGGGTTAGGGCTGCGGTTGATCTATATTTCATACGATGCTAATGATAACAGCGAAGGCGATATCCCTGACGGATACAATGTCTTGCGGAAGCAGCGGGAGAGTTTCTCCCTGATTCTGGAGTCTGCCAGCACCAACCAGACAGCTGTGTATCTCTGTGCCAGTGCTTTATCCACAGCTCTGCGCAGCCACATCCTCACTGCACAAAAACAGCAGACAAGGGAGGGAGGTGACTCTGACTCAGGCCTGACGCTGCCTTCTCTACCACATTTGTGCCAGTTGGAAACAGGTGACCAAAGGAGGAATACATACCACCTTAGCGAGGAAAGCACAGGATATTGCTACTTCTTTACAAGTCAGGGGACAATGTGAACCTTACCCACCCCAAAGTATGTGTCATCCAAACCTAAATACATGAGACTGATGTCCTACAAGGAGAAGTCTCTTACGTAGTTACACTAAAGCCCGATTCTGACATTTTAAATTATTTTTTTTCCTTCCCTTTTCTATTCCGGTCTCTTTTACCAGACATCATCTACTTTGTTCTTGATGATGTCACTAGAGGGCACTAATACATTTCAGCTCTTTATATAAACTTTATTGTTCATGTGCTGATTCAATAGAAAGTTTATAGAATTTGAATTTTACTTTTACAATTTCAAAGTAAAATACTCTGATTTTAAAAATGCATGCTCTGAATTCTCTTATCAATTATGCTTTATTGAAAACTCTCTACCCAAGGCAAGAGTAAAGCATGGTACAGAAGGGGGCAGAACTCATCAGTTATAACCACACTCACAACCACCTGGAGAAAACATCTGTTTATTTGAGAGAATGAAGCACAGTTTATGCCGCCAGAAAATATTAGCGGAGTCTTTCCTATTTTGAGAATACAAAAGAAATGTGAGACATCTTAGAAATCTCAAATTACAAAGTTTTGACAAAAACTATTAATGAGGAAGAAAAAACAGATCTATGACAATATAATTTAAATTTGTACTACACTCATTTACGTATGTGTATATTTAAGAAGTTTCTATAGTAGCATGCTTCCATGTGACATTTTCAATGATCTTTAGTGTTGTCCCTCCCCATACTCCCATCCTCCACCCCATATAGCCCTTCTTAATCCATTGTTTCCCTTTACTACTTTATAAACCATTGGTTTTCATCCCCACACCATGGCCCCTTACTAGTTATCTGACCTCTATGAGCATTCCAATTTAAATGCACATATGTAAAGATTCAAAGCTAGCATTGACATATGAGAAAGAACATGTGATGTTTGTCTTTCTGTGTCTATGTTAGCTAGCTCAAGATCATTGTTTCTAGTGCTATCCATTTACTTGAAAATTTCATTTTTCCTAACAGCTGGACAACCCTTAATATATCTAATCTCATAATCTCATCTGATGTCTTGATGTTTTGGTTTGGGTTGTTTGGTTTTTTGTTTTTTTTTTTTAACCCAGGTTCATCAAGAAACAGGCTCGTGTTCATTAGCATGGTGGAAAGAGACCAGAGAAATACATGATCTTTGGTGACCATCTTGTTCTTACCATGAAAACTACATTAAAGGAAAAAGATAGTGGACAGGGAGGGAAAAGCAAGACGCAGACAAAAGAGGGGAAACATATGATGTGAAGAGCATTCACCTGGTACAAGAGAGCTGTTTCAGAACTGTTAGGCACATCAAACTTCACTAACACCTAGAAAATGCTACCTATTATTTGAATAGATATACATCAGTTTTAGAGACTGAAACATTCATAAAAAGAAAAGAAATGGCTACTCTAAATCTGTCTAATAAAACAAAGGTTTTAATTATAAAATTAGGCAAATCTAACAATAAATTATTCCATACTAAATGGGAGTTTCAAAAGAGTTCTCTGCTTGCACATAGCGAGTCAGAGGTTATGATCTTGACCTACAGGAAACAAGGGCAAGGAGACAAACACTTTTTTGTGTGTCTAGAGATTACTGAGATATTCCAGGTTTTACGGCATACAACAACCCCGGTGAACAGGAAATATGTTCTTCTAATTAAAAATAATCACTCTTGGAAACTAGAGAAATGGCTCAGCAGTTAAGAACATTGACAGCTCTTGCAGAGGATCTGGGATGAATTCCCAGCACACACATGGCAGCCAACAACCTTCTGTAATTCCAGTTCCAGGGAATCCGATGCTCTCTTCTGGCCCCTGCAGGCATTGCACCACACAGGTGTACTTACACACATATGGGCAAAACACTCATACACATATAATAGAAATAAATGAAAGAAAAATAATGAATTTAAGATGGACATGGTAGTGCACTCTTTTAATCTCATCACTTGGGAGGCAGAGGCAGGCAGATCTCTGTAAAATCAAGACAATCTGATCTGCATAGCAAGTAGTTCCAGGTCAGCTGGGGCAACTAGGGAGACCCTACCTCAGTAATAATAATAATTAATAATAATAATGATAATAATGAATCTAGGGGTTGGAGAGATGGCTCAACATTTAAGACCACTGGCTGCTCTTGCAGAGGTCCTGAGTTCAGTTCCCAATATCCACATACACAGCAGCAAATAACTGTCTGTAACACTAGTTCCAGGGTACTGGACACTCCCTTCTGACCTCTCAGGTATTATTTACCAGTGGTGCACTTATATAAGTGCAGGCAAAACACTAATACACATAAAATAAAAATAAATGAATAAGCTATGACTTCAGATATAAACAACTTGTTCATAACCAGATATAAATAACTGGTTTCTATGTTTTAAATTTTCACCCTGTGATTAGATTTGTGATTTGTTAGAGGATGGTTCTTGGAAAAATTTCCACATCTCCATAAAACTGACTCATCTTTATCAGCTGCTCAGGAACCACTAGACACTCTTTTTCTCTGGTTCCTTCTATGTGATATTCTTGAATTATCTAGATCCCTTTTGATGGGAGCATGTTCTCCAATATGAATCTAGGACTTTGTAAGACTGTTGTACTGAAAATTACTGCTGGAAAGCGCATGAGGCATCTGGTTCCCTCCTCCCACTGTTTTAATGTCAACCTGAGGCAAGAATTCTCCAAAACTGCCATTTGGAAAATTCTAAAATGTTTATTGTGCTTACTAACAGACCATAGGGTGCAGATTTACTTACAGAAGAATGTGCACCCCCCACCCCCATTTACAGCTGCACTGGAAAGTCCACACTCAAACATAGATCCTGAGACTTCCCAACAGCCACAAAAATGGCAAGAGGGGTACCTCATGGTTTCTCCACTTATTTTCCTTAACCCCCACCCCTGTGCAGCTAAGATCCACTGACTGGGTAGGAGGGATAACTGACTCCCCCTCCAGCTCCTTGATGAGCAGGAAGGAGGTGTGACTATAGCTTGCTGGCATTGTCAGAAGTGTCAGAGGACACTTCTAGGTGACAACTGTGAAACCTGATTCACTTATGGGTGAATGAATTATTTGAATGTATTGTTTAGTGGCACCACCACAGTGTGCATTTTGTCAATATTTGTGCCTTTGGATTCCTCTGTTTCAGTGTGGGCTGATTGCTAATTAGTTCTACTGCTCAGTTGTCACCTTGAGACTTTTATTTGTTGTTATTCTGAATTAGATTTCCTACTTCACAAACTTCATGATCCCCTTTCTTCTGCTTTGCTGCATCAGCTTGTTGAGGAAACACTATCCAGTAATTCCCTAAGAAAAAGTGAAATACAGGTAAAAAGGTCCTAGCATAAATTAAAATATCTTTTACTTATATTTCCTTGATAGCTTGGGTTAGTAAGGAAATATATGTTGAAAATTACTTCCTATCCAAGTTTTATAAATGTTTTTCATATCACTTTTATAATTCAATGTTACCAAAAAATCTGATGTCATTTTTGTTTTAATTTTTTATTTATACCTTTACTTTATAACAGTTTTCTTTGTCCTGGGTAGCCTTAATCCCTAGGGTTTTGAAATTCTTTGAGATAAACCTTAGTTCCATTTGTTTTATATCCATCAAATCCACACAGGTGTGTGTGTGTGTGTGTAAAGAGAAAGGGAGAGCAGGAAGAGATGAGGTGAGGGGGGGAGATTTTATAACACAATCTTGGAATCAAGTACAATAGAGGTCATTTGAGCAAGAAGAGATGAGGTGAGGGGGGAGATTTTATAACACAATCTTGGAATCAAGTACAATAGAGGTCATTTTTCTGGATTCCTTCGTTCCTTTAGGATGTTAGATCTATTGTTCTCAGTTACCCACCAGTTAGGACTCAGGAAACTGCAAAGTGAGGTAATCCTTGGTAGCAGTGATGTTAACTCCTGGGATCAGGGATTACAAAGCATGGATTTGAGTCCCAACTCTGTTTCCTCTTAGATTATGTGAACTGATGTAAGCTCTCTAGGTATTTGTTACTTTTCCTCATTTGTGCATACAATACAGCAACAGTCATGCTCTAAGTAACCTAACCATGAAACAGCCCGAGAAAACGCAAGAAAAGCAGAATAAGTACTCAAAACTATCTCTCTTTTTCAAAAATAAACTAAGTAGCTGTGTGATATGAGAAATTGATTGGATACCAAAGATAGAGCACTGTGATCAAATTTTATAGAGGGGCTGATCGGTGTCATAGTCCATACTGAACTGAATTAGAATAAAGGACCTTATTAAAATGCCCAAGAATTAAGTAGAGAGAAATTAAAATATGAACAAGTTTGGTGCTGAAGTGAGGAAGACATATGAGATATAACATATTTTTACACATTTATAGACACCATCCATATAAAGTTTGAATTAACAAATGAAGGAAAATAAGGGCTTCTTGGTGTTTTGAACATAAAGAAGATGGAAATGCAAAATATTAGAAGAATAAAATTCATAAACAAAAGTCAGTTTAGTGTTATATGTATATTGTAAGAGGAATAATTTCAATTTGGTACAGCCATGATGGAGAGAACAGACAGTTGAAACTCCTTGACGCCAACATCGCATACCAGTTTTGCGCTCAAAATATACCACATATGTGGTAGTCAGAACTGATGGATGGATAAATGTGGAACAGCTGGCAGGTACATTCTGGGATGCATGAATGACTCATCCTTGGTGAAGAGCCACACGGTTCCCCTAGGGGGCAATGTATATTTTTCTATATTTAACAAAACCTCAGCTTCCTACTAGAAGAGATGAACAGAGTAAGCAAGGAAACAACTACACTTTGGAGAAGGAAGATGGATGTTTGATTTTTTTTTTTAATGCCTCTCAGGAAGGAAGCAATCTCTTAAAAATGTGGAGTCTCTTGCTTCTTCTTCTGGGCCAAGGTAAGAGCCCTGTCCCAAAGAGGGACTGAGAGCAATGTTAATGCTGAGTGGAGGTCTGAGGGGTGAGGTCTTAGATTAGGGAATCCTGGCAGAATAACTCTTAGCAAAACATAAACCATTAGCAACATGGTTTGGGGGAGCTGAAGTGATACTAGAATAAATAAAACAGCAATCTTCCTGTCTTTTGACTATGATCCCAAGCTTGTTTGCATTCATGGATCTCTGTCTTTCCCAATCTAGGTTCCGTGTTCAGTGTTTCCCTGTACCAAAACCCAAAGAGGGACATCTGTCAAAGTGGAGCCTCCCTGACAATCCAGTGTCGGGTTGATACCCAAGTTACTTTGATGTTCTGGTACCGTCAGCTTCAGGGACAGAGCTTGAAGCTCATTGCCACCGCAAATCAAGGCTCTGAAGCCACATATGAGAATGGATTTACCAAGGAAAAGTTTCCTATTAGCCGCCCAAACCTAACATTCTCGACTTTGACTGTGAGCAATGTTAGACCTGAAGATAGCAGCTTCTATTTCTGTAGCTCTGATTACACAGTGCTGGGTTCAGGCCAGAGATCTCAGCAAAAAACACAGCTCCCTCGTCCCAACTCTCCCCAGAGCCAAGGTGCAATGGGAGGAAACCACAGCTTCTGAGTAGACACTGCTTGTTTGTCTGTGAGAGCCATGGGCATGCACGTTCGTGTGGGGTACAGAGATTGTAGGGCTCATCGAAGAGTCTCATTACAAGAACTCATGAAAGACTAAGAGTAAAATTTCACCCAGAGCATGCTTAGAACTTCTCTGTAAAGATAAATGCAATTGGGGCTAGGGAGATGGCTCAGAGGTAAATAACACTGGCTGTTCTTGGCAAAGACCAGGGTCAAATCCCAGTATCCACATGGCAGCTAACAACTGTTGGTAGGTAACTCCAATTCCAGGGGATCCAGCAGCATTTTCTGTCCTCTATGGGCATTGCATGACATGGGTGCACTTACCTACATGCAGGCAATTCATGCATACACATAAAATAAAAACAATAAATATTTTAAAGAGGGTCTGAAAAGATAGATGCAATCTATCTTCAAGTGGCAGATTCAAAAACATCCTTTACAAGCTTACAACCCAAAGACTCAGAAGGCTGAGAATA